CCCCTGATGACCTCTTGTCCCAGAGACAGCAGGTGGTGGCTGCGGCGTTGGGCCCTGGGTTGCTCCGAAGCCCCTGGGCACGTCTTGCCCCAGGACAGCAGTGGTGGCTGTGGCGTTGGGGCCTGGGTGCTCCGAAGCCCCCTGATGCACCTTCTGCCCAGAGACAGCAGTTAAAAAAAAAAAAAAAAGAATCAAAGACAACACTTGTTGATGAGACTCAAATACAAAGTTATATTTATTTTCAATAATAAAAACACAACAAAGTGGAATCAATCCACTAACTAAATCTAACACAATCCTTAGCACAAAACTATCCTCAATAAAAACACATTAACATTAATGGGGTAAGATTACTCTCAAGACTCTCTAGGGTTGTGTGTTTTACACAAAACTGAGTGGAAGGTAAAGAAACACATGCTGGAGACTTGACTGAGAAGACCTCAAAGAACAGCCAAGGAGCAGGGTCCCCAAATATTACATTAGCAAAATGAATATGGGATTTTCAAAGCAGTCTATAAATCAGCTCACTGGGCAAGAGGCAAGGGTTTGAGATAATGCATGCTCAAGGCCTTGTAATTAAACCTTCTATTTCTAGATTCTTGATTTGGAATCTGTCACAATCTAGAGAAGCTTCTGCCAAAGGATAGATTATTTATCCTGCCTGAACAGACCTATGCCTATTAATTTTCCTCCTTTTACTCTGTCACTAACTCCTGTCACCAATATAGCAAGGGCTCCATTCCAACAAAGGATTACAACTATGTGGACCAACCCCTCTAGTTTAGATTTTCCTTTTAAAAACACATTGATACTTGCAGGGATAGTGCTAAATATATCTGATTTCTTTTTATCCTCCTACACAACTCTGTTTGGCTACAAAATCTAGGATTCATAGAGCAACAGCAACATTGATCATTAGATAAGTCTCAGGTCCAATGGAAGCACTCTCTCAAGTTCAATGGTCACAAGTTTTTTTACCACCTCACCTGGCACAATTATGTCTCCCTTGTTATCTTGCTAATTATTTCTTTCTAAATTCAATCCTCCGAGCTACATTCTGAGCACCAAATTTTTTGACCAATGCATTTCTGGTATCCTCATCACTTTTTTGCAAATCTATGTCATCCTGCCGGGACCAAATGGGGTATCCATCAGCCCTATGACCAGATGCTAAAAAGGAGGAAGTAGCCTCCAGCTCACCACTATTTTTTAGGAAGGCCTGTGTAACTGTTGATAGATCCAAGTTAAACTTTTCCATTAACTGCCGGATGATCTTAATGGCAGCTGCCACCTCTGGTGGAGAAGCTTTTTCTTCTTCCTCCTCATCAGGCTGCGTTTCTGAGTCTTCCTCTGGTGTGGGTGGATCATCATCACACATTGTTATATGTATTTCAAAATCAGGGCTCTCATCCACCTAGAGAAAATAATAAGTAAGACTTGAACTCTTGCAATATCTTCTCTCTTCCAACTACCACGACCTTGCCCTGTGCATCCCAATCACACTGGATTTCCTTCAGCTCCTCAAATATGCTTTGTTCTTTCTTATGTTTATTCATGTTGGATGTGTGTGAATACAAATATGTATATATATATACGGGTGTGTATTATTTACTTTTTTTGATTTACTTTTTTGATGAGGGATATAGTATGAACAGTGATATGCTAAATTTTGTTGTGTTCTATGTTGTGTTTTGATCAGTGTAAATAATATGGCAGACTGTGTCTTACTACCATGACAATTGGGGCATAGGTGAAGTATGAGGCATTAAAGCCTTCTTATTGTCTCTTAGTTTTCAGTTTTTGCTTGTGTCGTTTTTGTTTTACATTTTTGGAGGGGAGATTATTTTCCATTAAGGATGATTGCTGCTAATGGATTTGATTCCAGGAGAGGAAGGTGGGGAGGGTGCAGAGAGTGTGTATAGGTGGGGGGGTGTATGTATCTATATGTATGCATAATTGACTATGCTATTCCGACAGAATATAAGAAGCTACACTGAATATGGAAAGTATATAGGTATATGTGTGTACCCATGTGTTTATTAGATTTATTTGTTAAATGTTTGACGTTACCCCCAGATTGTAAGGTCCATAAGGGCAGCAATCATATGTTTTGTTCATCACTCCATCTCCAGTGCCTTCCAATGCCTATATATATTAAGTAGTCAAAAAAATTGTCGGCCGGGCGCTGTGGCTCACGCCTCAACCTCAAACTCCTGGGCTCAGTGATCCTTCTGCCTCAGCCTCCCGAGTAGCTGGGACTACAGGCATGCGCCACCGAGACAGAGATGTGACTGATTGCTTTCTTGGTATTATACATATTTGCTTATATGGCATTACAAAGCGCAGACTGACTTTTTATATTAGCGAGAAGAGCCGAGGAGAAACACAAGGCTATGTAACTTGTCCATTCACGATTTGTCGAGATACGCGAGACAGATCGACAGAAGTCATGCACTTGGCGTACACATTGCTATGGTTTTGAATCTCTCATGGAGCCTTATAGACAATGCAAACTCAGTAGAGTAATCCGCCGACCCACCGACCTCCCAACGACTAGGATTAC